ATTCGATCCAGAGTGTGCAACCACTACGGCATCCTCATCGTCTTGGGATCCAGTGATGTCACATCTCTTTCCTCTTCTAACTAAAACTGACTTGAGCCCCCTCCGTCATGGGCTAGTGGGAAGCCCATGTTCTGATGGAAACTCTCACTCCCTCTGAATTGCCCAGCTCAGCCCACGGGGCCCTGTGGAGGGAGGAAGAGAGGCTCTGAGGAGACCTCCCCGGTCCGGGTCCTGATGCCCTGCTACTGGTTCTCTAGCATGTCGCCCCGGGCTGTCCCCGGGGAAAGCCGGCCCTGCACAGTCCGACCGTCCTTGTCTGCTGCTGCATGTGGCTCTTGCTCATTGGGGCTGTTTCCTGCCCCCGAATGAGTGACTGCACTTTCAGGGGGAAGAGACTGCTGGGTTACACATGTGCTGTGTCATTTTATTCCCAAGAAATCCTTATGAGGTATGAACTTTTCTTCACCCCAGAAATGAGGAAACTGAGGCTCAGAGAGGTTTACTAACAGCCCTGCATTATATATATTGGAGCTTTTCAATTTTTAAAATGAAATGTTTGCTTCCCAAACCTAATTTCTGGTGTTAAAATGTTCTTAAGAGCCAACTACAGGCCTGCCTACCCAGGGCCCAGCTCAGTGGTAGCCTCTGTCCTCTGGTTGACGTGCTCAACGACCCCTGGTGCTGAATTTGTCCTGTTTTATCACTTTCTCTTTCTTTCTCTCTGTTCGCCCCACAAGTCCTCTTCCCTACTCTCCTCCCCGCCGAGTTACATTTTGAGAGGTCGTTAAAAGCCAGAGTGAGTGAGCAGGTCCCAGTAAAACTCTTTTTCTTTTCAAGCAGACCGTGAGCTTTTCCAGCTTCCCTCCTCCCCTCGCCCCACTCGCCATCCAGCCCCGTTTAAGCCCACTGCTGACAGACGGACTTCCGCTCCTGCCGAATATCGCCCTGCCCAGCCAAGAATATTCTATGCACGCCTTGTTGCTGGAATGGTAACGTTTGCAAAGTCTTAACATTCTGAGTCTCATATCCTCGGGAATAATTTCTCCCAGAGGTGTAGCTGGATAACTCTTCACCGACGGGCGTAAGGTCTGAAGACCACAGCATTTTAGAGCTGGGAGGCCTCTTGGAGAGTCCAGGCAGCTCTTCTCTAGACAGGGGAGGAACCTGAAGCTGTAGAGCTCAGCGGACCTGCTCAAAGTCACCCAGCAACTGAGCCTGGACCAGAACCCAGGCCCGCTGAGCCTCAGGCAGCGCCCAGCAGCTTTCTGACCATCTCGCATCTTCTTCCACCTCCCACCTCATGGTAGCGCTGCCTGAGAGCTGTTAGGGTGGGAGAGTGTCAGGAACAAGGAGAGATCTGGGGGGATGGAGGGAGAGGTCAGGGCTCCCATCTCAGCTGTGCCACTTACTCTGTGCCCTTGGGCAAGTTACTGTACCCGTGTGAGCCTCAGTTTCCTTGCCGTAGGCTTCTTTTGAGGATGTCATGATGCAAACAGCTTAGCAGGGTGTTTGCCACAGATGTAGGCGGAGAAGTGATTGTCTCTCTTCTCTCTCCCTCATGCTCCTTTGCCTCTCCAAAAAGCAATGCTTGGGTCAGCCTTGCCTCCTGAGTGTGGTCCCTCACTATCAATGGTGAAAGAAGTTGCTATTTGTCATGAGGGCTGGATCCCCAAATGCTGCACTCTCTTGGGCCAGAGAGAGCTCCTCGCATGACTCTGACACCTGCTGAGGCCTTCAGGATGCTGGCTCCCTCATTGTGGCTGCACTTCTTCATTTCGCAAGCTTCTTGGAGTGATGAGTATTAGGGCACAGTTTCAAAAGTATCCCAACAGGAGATTTTGGAGTCCACCGCTGAGTATAAATCTGGACATCCCTTCCCCTAGGCAAGCTGCTTCTCCTGTAATTGGTGCACTCAATTTCTTGCCCCCTATTAACACTCTTATTTTAGTCCCAGGACTGAGCTGGCTTTTGTCAAGGGGGAGAGGGGTTGGTGTTTGTTCCTAGCACCTGTAGCCTGGCCTGAGGATGCCCTTTTTGCCTCCTGCAACACACCCTCCTTTTTCTACAGGGCTCAGTGCTGTTTTTCAAAGAGTGCTCATGAGGCCTTCCCATCTTTGAGTGCATGGAGGGATGTGGTCCTTCCCAGGGTCCACACGCTGAGCCCGGGGTCCAGCCTGAGTAGCAGAGGTTGGTCCTGATACTGGCTCCATAGACAGCAGCCAGACTGTGGCCAGAGAGGGTGAAGGGAGAGGCCTGCTCATGGCTGTTAGAGCCATACCCTGGTAACTCATTGTCCTGCCACCCTGAGATTGTCCCTTCCCTCAAGGAACTCTCTAGCTAGTAGGGGAAAGATACGTAATACGTAATTGATACATTGTGATGGATGCTATCAAGCAGGTGTGCACTAAGCCCAGTGCTGGCATGTAGGAGAAAGGAGGCTGTATCTGCATGGAGAGGTCAGCAAGGGCTCCCAGAGGAGGTGACATCTAGAGTGAATTCTCAACGATTAGCAAGAGTGACCCAGCTAGACGGGAACGGACAATCTAGCTATAGTGAATCCTTTGCACTCTCCAAGGATCCTCTCCTCTCCTCTCCTTCTCCCTCGACCACGCTGGAGATTCCTTGATTAGTGGAGGCTGACTGTGACAGGCCTCCAGGGTGTTTCCAATAGCGCAGGCAGAAGAAGAAAGTAGGGAGGGATAAATACAGAAACAGCTGGCTTCCATCTTCCAAAAATCCCCATTCAAACTAGCCGTTTAAAAATCTCTTCCAGGTTGCCATCTGATGGGGAGAGTCTTTCCAAGCTGGGTCTGGGGATGAGATTCATTCATAAGAAAAAAAGTAAGAAAAATAAAGAAGAACCAGTTTCAATACTATGCATTGAGTGCTGGCCCTACAGCCTGGTGGTTAGGAAGGCAGACTGTGCCGCCTACTACTCCTGTGACCTTGAACAATGATTTACCCCACTCTGCCTCAGGTTTCTCATCTGTAAATCAAGGGCAGTATTGGTACCTACCTCATAGAGTTGCTGGGAGGAGTAGTGAGTGTGTCATAGTAAGAAATATATGTTTGGTCTTTGTTCCGGTTCCTGACACAGAGCTCCCAAATGCCTTGGAATTTCCCAGGTGATAGGAGCATCTTTTGTTCTAATGACATGACTCTTGGTGGGCCTCTAGATAGTGTCTGGATGGGGGCTGGTCACCAGAAAGACCAAGCCTTGATTAGAAGCCTGGAACTTTCAGCCCCACACTCTGACCTCAAGGAGGGGAAAGGGGCTGGAGATTGAGTGGATCGCCAATGGCCAGTGATTCGATTGGTTACACCTGCATGATGAAACTGCCATAAAAATCCTTAGACTATGGGGTTTGGAGATCTTCTGAGTTGGTGAACACATCCAGTTGCTGGGAGGGTGGCACACCCAGAGAGGGCATGGGGGCTCTGTGTCCATTCCCCGACACCCTGCCCAGTGCATCTCCTCCATTTGGTTGGTCCTGAGTTGCATCCTTTATAATAAACTGGTAATATAAGTAAAGTGCTTTTCTGAGATCTGTAAGTTGTTCTAGCGAATTCTCAATCCTGAGGACGGGGTTGTGGGAACCCCTTGAATTTATGGCCGGTCAGTCAGGAGTACTGGTGACAACCTGGGACTCGCAACTGGCATCTGAAATGGGGACAACTTTGGGGACTGATCCCTTACCCTGTGAGACTTGATGCTATTAGGTAGCTAGTGTAGGACACCCAGGTGGTGTCCAGAGAATTGGAGAACTGGTTGTTAGTGTGGAAAATACACAGTAATGTTGTGAGTAAAAATGGCCCAGAGGGGGTTAATGTGACAGACGGGATAATGGACCCATGTAATGCCCACTTCCCAATCCCTGAAACCTGTGAGTATGTCACCTAACATGGCAAGAGACTTTGCAGATGTGACTAAGTTAAGGATGTTGGGATGAGAAAATTACCCTGGCTTATCCCAGTGGGTCCAATGAAATTACAAGTGTCCTTACGTATAAGAGGGAGGCAGGAGAGCCAGAAGATGGAGAAAGGAGCCACAGCCAAGGAAGGCAGGCAGCTTCTAGAAGCCAGAAAAGGCAAGGAAGAGATTCACTCCTAGAGCCTCGAGCAGGAACATAGCCCTCCTGATGCCTTGATTTTAGTCCAGTGAGACCCATTTTGAACTTTTGACCACCAGAACTGCAGGGTAATAAATCTGCGTTGCTTTAAGCCGCTAAGTTTGTAGTAATTTATTACAGCGGGAGTAGGAAGCTGGTACAGTTAACACAGGTAGAGGGCTCAGAGCAGAGCCTGGCAGGTGGGAAGAGCTCCTGAGAGTTGCTTATTATTGTTGCGATTTCTCTCCAACAGCTTCTAGGTTAGAGTTGGGGGAGGTGGCAGTGAAAAAAACACCACCTGCACAAGGTTCCTGACATCGTGGAGTTTACCTTCACATGGAGGGGACAGATTACAAAGAAAGAAGTAAACACATGTTAACGAAGAGAAAGCCAGCAAAGGGGACTGTTACTGACTGGCTCCTGGGGCTGGGGTCTGTTGCAGATGGTGAGGGCAGGACAGGCCTTCTGCAGAGGAGGCCACATTGTGGCAGAAGCCTGAGTGCAGGAGGGAGGGCCAGTGGAGCTCCCCAGGCTGATGGAGCAGCCAGCCGGAAGGTCCAGATCAGGGAGAGCAAGAGGTCATGTGGGGGGCGGGAGCAGGTGGGCAGTGTGGGGCTGGGAGGTGAGGGTAGTGCGGGGGGCCTCCTGGTCATGTAAGAAATTGGGATTTCATTCTGAGTGGGATGGGGAGCCAGGGGAGGGTTTGAATCCTGGGCATAGACATACACACGGCTCATCAAGCTGTGCTGTGGCTGCGTCCTACACACAAAATAGAGGAAGATGGGCACAGTTGTTAGCTCAGCAGCAATCTACCTCCCCACAAAAACAGGAAGATTGGCAACAGATGTTAGCTCAGGGGCCAATCTTCCTCACCAAAAAAAAGAAGAAGAAGAAGAAGAAGAAGAAGAAGAAGAAGAAAGATCACTCCAGTTCAGAGCTTCTCAGTTGGGGGTGATTGGCATTTTGGGGAGGATAATCCTTAGCTGTGAAAGACCATCCTGGCATTTAGGATACTGGTCCCCCAGGCACTAAAGGAAACAGCATTTTTGTGTCAACTCCAACTGCTCCCGCATACTTCCAAACCTGCGGGGGAGGGTGGGCAGGTGGAACCACCCTGGTGGGGAGGCGCTGAGGGGCACACGTGGAAGCAGAAAGACCAGTTAGGAGGACAGTGGCACGGCTGAGGCAGTGAAGGGGAGAAAGGAAGAATTTAGGGGATTTAATGATGAACTAGGTATTAGAGAAAGATGAGAACAAGGAGGAACCCGGGTTTATGAAAATTAGTGCATCCCCAGGTTTGTTTGTTTGATGAGGAGAAAGGGGTAAAATCACATTTTAATTGTGAGATGCTTAGAGGGGATGTTCAGGTGGGAATATGAATCTGGAGTTCAGAGAGAGGTCAGGAGGCAGAGAGAAATTCAGGGGTCCTCCTGGGCCGTCATGGTGGTTAAATCACGAGGCTGGCTGAGATCTCCTGGGGAGATGCGGTAAGTAGAATGAGTTCCAAAGGAAGAGCCTTGGGCCCTGGACACTCAGAGATCAGGACGCAGAGAGGATCCAGCAAAGGGGATGGGGAAGGAGCAGCCAGCGCAGGAGGAGGAGGACCAGCAGAATGGGGGTTCTGGAAGCTCACTGGAGAGTGTGTGCCAGGCGCTGCGTGGGGCCCTTGCAGGTAAATCACCTCATCAGCTACTCACATCACCCGTGAGGCTCATGGTATACACAGAAAGAATGCTCTGAGAGAGCATAAGCCTTCTACTTTAGCTTTTGGCAAATGAAACGTGTAATTTCATGATGATTACCCTCGTTCTGCAGCATGTTGCCCCTACTTAGCATCTGCTGAGCACAGCCCTAAAGTGGCGGGAGATGGGTGTTCCCACGCATGATGACACTCGTGTGGCCTCCGCCATCTTTAGAGGCTCAGGAAGGGAGAAGAAGCTGCCACTGCTTCCAGTGGGTCATTCCTGGACCTCAGTCAGCTGTTCCTGGATTTTGCCTCTGTTCTTAGTAAAATACAATCAGTCAGACACTACCATAGAACGAAGCGATTTCTCTGGCCCTTTTTAAAGCTAGCAAATTTGAAATTTTACCTCATTTTGTTCAAGAAAAATTCAAATGCCTGCCCTCTCCAGGCCTAGCCGGAGGGTAATCGCACCTCTACTTGATGAAATATTCTGCAGCCATTAAAAACGTCTATGAGAAGTAGGCAATAGCATGGAAAAATGCTTAGATTTTGAAGTTAAAAAGGCCGACTGTAACATTGCATATTCAATAGATCACAGCCATGTAATGTAAACAAACCAAAACAAAACAGATGTGCAGGAAAAGAAAACATTGTAAAGACTCTGCCAAAATATTGATGGTGGTTTTCACTGGGTGGTGGGAAAATCAGAAATATATTTACCTTTTTCCTGATTTTATGTATTTTCCAAATTTTTATAATGAGTATATATCATTTTAGAGCAGTGTTGCCCGATAGAATTTTCTACAATGATGGAAATAGTCTGGATTTGTACTGTCTAATCCATAGCCACCAGCGACATTTGGCTCTTGAGCACTTGAAATATGGTTAGTGTGACGGATGAGCTGGATTTTTAATTGTGCTAAATTATTACTAAGTTAAATTTAAATATTAGTAGCCATACGGGGCTACTGACTACTGTATTTTGGCAGTGCAGGTTTAAAGTGCAAAAAATAATATAAGGAAACGTGTATTATATCTCAATAAAGTTGTGAAAAATAACGTAGGCATTTTAAATGTGTTCACCATATCAAGCCTTGACATTTTATTGCAATGTGGGAGTGAGTTTGGACTTCATAATAGGGAATATGGACACAGCACAGAAAAACATCAGAGTTTTTATTTAAATAGTTTATTTTCTAGCTCAATAAAAGGTGATCCAGCATTAAGCCTGTTCTTGGCCAAGTTCTGTTTTATGCTGGAAAGAAACAAACAATAACCCGGATGGTCTTCGTCATTCTTCAGCAACAACTTCTGCTCTTAGGAATAATATTCTTTTGTATACCCGTCTAGGTCTTCATGCGGGTTCCAAGCATGTGAGTGGTATCTTTTGAGGTGAGAGCAAAGCTTGTTAGCCCCACTTTTTAGATGAGAAGATAAGGCCGATGAAGGTTCGGTTCCCAAAGTCATGAAACGAGAAACAAAGGCAAAGCCTCTTATTTCTTGAAGCCCAGCGGATTTTATTATCTTTCACAATATGAGCAGATCAATTTCTGAAAAACTGTCTTGGGAAGGGGACTTCCCCCAAGGAACTGGGAAGATTTGCTGCTTTTAAGTCCTTTAAATGAAGTTTTAGAACCGTCCTGAGATTAGTTCACAGAAGGCAGGGCACTGTGCACCTAGCAAAGGTTGCCCTTTATTTGGTTGGATCTGTGTCTTTACGCTTTCCATGGAAATGCCAAGCAAAAAAACACTTGTCTTTTCGTGTCACCTTATTCTAGACCCCTCACCTCCATCCTCTGCCCTCCCTCCACCACTCACAGAACCTCTTGCCATGTGGGGACTTAGCCAATCGTAGTTCCACATCTGGCAATTTAGAAAGATTTAGAAAGATGCCGAGCTCTCCTGGGATCACGTTCCCTGGACCACTGAGGTGCAGGGGACGTGGCATTAGAGAGATGACTTCAGCCGAACAGGCCACCCCCACCCTGGGCTCTCCTCGTCTGGGTGGCCCCGAGGGTTTGCTAAGAGCAGCAGGCAGCAGGCAATTGAACACAAATGAATCCACTGAATGTTTTCAAACCTAAAGGCTCGATCCTTTTCGCATCAAGTTCTAGGAAAATGTTGGAGCCAGTTATGATTTAAAAAAAAAAATCATAAAAAATTGGTTCACCCGTCTGTCAGTACCGCCAAGAAATATTCACATGAGGAGGAGTATCCAAAAAAATGAAGAGTAGCTCTTTTCCAAGACAGATCTCTGGAACTCTCTCCCTCCCGTGCTCAGAACCACTTCCTCTCCTCAAATCTCACTTTAAAACCTTCCTGTTTGCTTTAGCCTATGACTGACTCAGGCCCCATTCATCTTTCTTTCCTCTCTCCCCATGACCACATCCTTCCACTCTCCCCTCACCGTGCACCGTGAGAACACTCGCCTGCCTCTTTCCTCCTCCATCTTTCAGGCCCTTCTCTGTTCCCTGCAGCCACAGCCGGGCATGTCGGGGTGGCTTGCTGGCCTGCCCGAGTCACCCTCGCCCCGTCCAGACGGGTTTAAGCGTGGGGCCTTCCCCACATGAGTGCCCGCCCTTCTCCCTGAGGAGGAGGAGGCCATGAATTTCAATGGTCCTTCTGCCTAAAGAGGCGCTTTGCAAGTTGTATTTCACCAGTTACTGACTCAGAAACTTGAGAAGCAGAACACAAGGAGACCTTGTCAGAGACCTGCAAAGATACCAAGCCCCACCCTGTTTCCCTTGGGAGGCTTCAGGGAAAGCCTGAAGGGGGTGGGAAATAAACACAGGCCAACCCGGGGCGGTTGCTCACCTCCAGAATAGAGTTATAATTGTCTCCGCTGCGCTTCCTGTTTCCCTCAGGTAAGGAGGAAGGCGCATTCCTCAGCAACGTTCCAAGGAAGGATTGGCCCCGGGAAAACAGTCCCAGAGTGAGCCCAAGTGTTTGAATTCTTTTTGTTCAGGGTATACACATGGTATTTTCTAAAGAATGTGGTTTCAAGTTGGCTCTCTGGACAACGGGCAAGCTGTGGGCTTCTCCATGATGCATCACTCTCCTCCAACCCAAGATGGAGCCTTCTCCCGCAAACATGGAGGCAGGCCAGTCTGCTCCGGCCTCCACAGTGATAGTTCCCCTGATAGCTCCAAAAGAAATGCTTCGAGACCCAAATGCCCCGGAGTTCATCTGATGAAACACATGCTTGACTCCCATTTGATCTTCTCACAATAACAACAGCTGCCATTTTTCTCCCACATCATTGTTTCCACAGCACATTCGTATTTGCTATGTGAAGTGCGTAAGGCAGGTATTAATATTCCCATTTTATACTTAAAGGACTAAGGTCGACGTGACTTGCCTAAGGTCACAGAGGTGGTGAGTGGTGGAGTTGGAATCCACATGAATCTTCTATAGGAACCCCGGCCCAACTACAGACATGCCCAGATGAGCACACCAGTGCCTGGAGAGGAAAAATCTGGAGAGGCCTTCCACATGGTGGGTAACGCAAATAGCGTTAGAGTTGGCTTTCCAGTGGATTATGGGGGTTTTCTTTGATTTTTGGTAGCACATCTTCTGTTTATCATGCTTGCCTCGCTTGAAAACTTCAGAGTGAGTCAGTGTTACCCAGGCTCACCCAACAGGTGGCAGAGTGATGGGCCTCAGAATTATGCTTGTGGTTAAGCCAACCTGGGATTAAGTCTGGAGCAGTTAATTCTGCTGTGTGAAAAACAAATAATAAAGAACACATTTTTTAACAAAACTGGAAAGAGAAATGAAAAACAAGTGCCCGACCTAACTTTTGAGGGATATATATATATATATATATCACATGATATGTATAATATTAGATAGTAATATACAATATTTATACATTGCATATAATATACTATAATGTACTATATATTATGTACAATATAATATATACAATATACAGTAATTATATATATATAGAATCTCCAGAAGTTTCTCTGGAGGTTAGGGGCTCGCCCTACACTCAGATGTCAGTGCAGATCCAGGTCATGAGCTCTTGGACAGATGTGACAGATGATCTGGGGAAGGGAATAGGGAGAGAGAGATTCGTTAGTATGAACACTGGGAGTTTGAGAGCCATTTCTGGGTGGAGGCGGGGAAAAAAGGGAGCGATGCCACAAGGGTCCTTGCGTGGTGCCTCCATGCCACACCTGGGAACCGTGACTTGCGAAGTGGCTGACGTGTTTATTTGGTGTGAGGTCAGCAATAGCTCTGAAAGCAATAACATGATCCTCATAAAATAGATCCCCCAGCCTGGGCCACCCGCCTGCTTGCTGCCAAACAAGGGTGGTGGCCTAATGAATGAGACACTGCTGTCAACTCTCCATCAATGGTGGGTTCATTCACTCTGTGGATCATGCAGCCTCTTCCTTGCCTTCCCATGTCCATGCTGTTGATTACTTTTTTAACCCATTTCTTGCTTTGTGCTGCTTCCTTCAGGCGAAGAGAAAGGGAAAAGAGTTTTGATTTCTGTGCCTATTAACCACTCTGACAGAAGGTTTTGTGAAGAATGACGTTGAAGCTCTTGGTAGAAGTTAGAAAAAACAGTCTAGTTACAAGAACAGCAGAAAAAGACCTGAACTTCAGAGTGGACCACAAACCAATAGGAATTAAGAACACAGCTCTCTTTTCAAAAGCCAATGCAAAATGAGGATGTGTTTATGCAAGAGCAGCTGTTGTTACCCTGGGCTTATGCTCGACATTCTTTCATATGTCACGGTCAGACCTAGGAAATTCCCTGGGAAGTCCCCTCCCTCCCAGTGCCTGCAGTTTCTCCCTTGGAGTATAATGCTGTTGGATCTTGAGAGATCTTTTGATCTTCAGGAAGCTGTTATCACAAAATGGATCTTCCTGGAGTGAGGAGACAGCGTGGTACACCGGGAGACGAAGGCAGTGGACTGCGGAATGGGAATCTGGGTCCCAATGTCAGTTCTCCCACCACCTGCCTGTGGCTTTAGGAAAGGCCTGTTCCTTCCCTTGCCTCCATGGCTTCATCTGTCCAATGGAGTGACATGGAGATGATGAAAGTGTAAGTACCTGCCATCATGCTTGTAAGTGCTCAGGAAATGCTTCCCTCCTGCCTGCCCTCAGGTTTCAGCCTGTAAAGTGAAGGATGGAACCAGCACACCTCCGAGGACCCTTCCATTCTGACACTTTGTGACTCTGTTGGCAACACCTTAAGAAATTTCCAGCTAACACTCCAGTGAGCCTTATTCTACAAGATTCCATCCACTCATGACAGCATTGGGATTTTGACTTTGTGTTTTAATTTTTACTTTCCCTTATCCTGATTTTTAATTTATATTTTCTATTTTATGGCTTTTGCCTTTTTAAGTTGTCACAAATCCTTTGGTGAATAAGACAAAAGTATAACAAATTGTATGAAAGAATGCATTGACTGAAAGCCAAGGAATGTTATCAATGCTAATACTAATAAATTGCTTTTATTGGATATTTACTATGTATGAGGAACTGTGCTAAACCCTTTATAAACATTAGGTCACTTAATTCTCACAATAACCACATGAAGCCATAATTATCATCCCCACTTTATAGACAAGGAAACTGAGTCTTAGAGATATCAAGCAAGTTGTCCAAGGTCACCCAATTAGTGAGTGGTGGAGCTGAGCCACAAATCCAGGTCTGGCTAAATCAGAGCAGTTGTGTGCTGACAGGCTCTCAAAAAACGAAAGCAAAAACGACCCCCTAAATCCCTGATGTGTGGTGTTCACTGATTTCCACCGTGTAAATACTCCCACCAGGGCCAATTTCAAGTTACCAACAGTTTAAAATCAGCTCCAAAAGTTTCTGAATATTTAACAATCTGCTCTTGCAAGCCAGTAGGCACCAACCGCAACATGCTCCAGAGAGAGCCTGTGTTGATCACCACTGAGCACCCATGCATGCCTGGATCATAGGCTGGGCCTGGGGAATGGTAGAAAAGAAACAAGAAAGGGGACATAGCCATGGACAGAGACACAGCCGTGAGAGGACACGTTCATTCATTCATTCATTCGTTCGTTCCCTTCACAAAGGCTTATTGAGTACCAGCTAAGTCCCAAACCTTGTGATACACCCTTGGGATTCAGGCATGAGTAAGATGAGCAGGGTGCCCAAGCCTGAAGAGCCCAGAGTGTGTTGGGGAGAGAGAGACATGGAAACAAATAATTGAACACATTAGGTAATGGAAGCGTGTATGAGTGTATGGGAGCTCAGATGAAGCAGGAATGAATCTGCCCCACGGGTCTGGAGGATGGAGTTAGCCACGTGTACATGCAGGCTTCCAGGCAACACAAATTTTGCTTCCTTTCCAATTGATGGAGGGGCTTCCTCACTAGAGAGGTGTGCTCAGCTTGACTCTTTGCAGTTCAGAACTAAACAGAGAATCCAAAGATGGGGTCAAGAAAGGGACAAGGATGCAGAAAGTAAGCTCCCTGAGTTAGGGATGTTTCTGATTTAGCCCGATATTCCTGACACCTAGCGTCGTACTGGGCACATAGTCTGCACTCAATAAATATTTGTTGACTGGATGAATCGCTGGTGAATAATGATTTGTGAGCTTCAAGGAAGGTTGTTTGAGGAAAGGGGACTAGTGATAGGTAAGAAGTAAGCAGTGTAAGTCTTGACCCCTTAGCATGGAAGGGGCCATGTGGCGGAATGGAGTGAACAGAGGGCAGAGCACGGGCAGGGACTCTGGGTGCCCTGAGTGGGGGTCAAGTCTGCAGAAGAGTGTGTGTCTGGAATGCCACCACGTCTTGTCACAAGCCTGCAGGGTGTTTGATGTGCTTGCGAATGGCAGGAATTACACCAATCATTGCTTTGGCTTCAAAGTTCAGCATGGGAGAAGCTAAAAAGTAATTGATGCAGTGAAATTTGGGGATTTCAGTGGATTCATTCACATTTGTTTGTTCTTGTCTTCCTCTGATTACCTGAGAGGAGGCTGCTGTTATGGAAAACCAAGGGCTGTTAGAATATTCTTTCTTGGGAGCCAGAACTGTTTTTGTAAGAAGCGGGCCTGCATGTGTATTTTGTGGATTATTTTCATTGTAACAGTGCCTTATATTTGTAGATGGTTCCTAGTTTCCAAAGATCTTTTCCTAATGACTTTTGCGGCATCCCCCAAACAAGGCCATGAGGACGATAGAGAAGATGCAGACATCTCCATGTTACAAAGGAGAAAGTGCGACTCAGAGAAGTCAAGTGACTCAGCCAAAGTCACACAGCTGAATTCGAGCAGAGCAAGGGCCCCAGGTGGCTCATGCTAGAGGTGAAGACCTTCGTATTCTCCTAGTTTCTCTTATAATAATGTCACCTCCTGGAGCGAGCAAGTCCTGGCTGAGACACAACGGCATCTAGAAACAGTCCTGACTATTTGAGAACTTCTTCCTCTGTGGTGAAAAACTGAACCGGCCTGCCCCATTTTCCCAACCACCTCACGACTCGAAGAGCAATTGCTTTAGCTCTGACAAAATTAGGCCACCTCCGACCTAAATGGAGCCCATTTTCAGAGTAAGACCCTGCGTGGAGACAGCTCTTTCCTGGAAGGATAACAAAAGCATGCTTTTGTGTGTATTTCACTTGATGGAAAGGAATCCCCAGCGAGGCCATTTTTTCCCCCTGATTTCTCCCAAGTCCAGAATGTATCCAAGTTTCCAAGATAATCTCAGAAGAGCCATTCGTCTACGAAGATGGCCAAATTGTCTTCCAGCTCAGTAGACAGGGTGTGTTTGAGAGACAAGGTGAGGGGGTGAGAATAGGGGTGTGGGAAGAGGGTGAGGGAGCTTGATAGCAAAGGAGAAAATGTGTCGCCGACAAATGCTGACGGAAGACGAAAGAAACCAAAGGGCCAGCCCCGACTCTGGGGTCCCCTCTGCCAGGGACATTTTCAGCTCATTCTTTTCAGGACCTGTCACAGTCTGCCTGGCGAGCCGTCACTTCTCATCACTGGGCTCTCACTGAGGATCTTTGTGTCATCACTGTCATGAAGAGACCTGGCAACTGGCAAAGAATTTCCTGGGGCGCTACCCGATACACCATTATTCGCCTCTTATCATCTTAGCAGAGTAGTTACGCCGCTGTCAGAGGTAATGGAGACCATGCCACTAAGAAAATTGGCTGTAATTTATTTATCAATTGTTCCTGCATACCACAAAAGCGGCCTTCTACTTTATGGCTGGGTCTAAGGTATTTGAGAGCTCCCGAAGTTCATGGTTTTCCGGTATTCTAAGTTCTACTTATGGCCTTTCCTGTATATGACACACAACACCACCCTTGTGGCTTGCAGGCCGTTTTCTTCTTTGCTTTCTTTAGTCACAAATCATCCTGAGGCATCCCTTAAGTGCATTTGTATTGTTAAGTGCACCGGCTTGATTTGGTGTTAATTCAATTTGAGTGCCCTTAATATCTTGTGGGGGTGATGCAATGCAGGCCGCCTGTACCTTGTAAAATCGGGTCCCAGGTCTGCCTGGGAGCAAAGCACCTTTCCCATAGCCATTTACCAAAGTTGCTGATAAAATTTTCATAAGGGAACCTTTTTAGTCTGACCCTATTGTGTTATTCTACCATTAAGCCTCGGAGAACTGAGCTGGCTTCTAGTGACAGCTTATCACGCTCTCCATTATTGCTGCCTGCCCCAAGAGCTAACTGGCTGGGTGCAGTGCAACTCGCTCCCTCCCTCCCGCTTCTGGTCCATTCTGGGAAAAGCTTATGGGCCAGCACCTAGGGGCTAATGTGCATTCGTCTCTCTCTGGGTGCCAAGGAGCCGAGCTCTCTTCCTGATGAACTGGCTCCCCTTCACCTTGGGAAGCTTGGGAGGCCCTGCAGGACTTTTGGAGCATGATTAGAAAGGCAGAAGCGAACGGCAGGCCGAAATAGAGTAAGAGTTACAGAGCACTTTACTTAAAACTCAACCCCAGAAGCAGCGATGATGATGCCAACAGCAGTCTGACACATAGCTTGTGTTAGAGGATTAGGCCAGGCATTTGACTCTGGAATATTGGCGTTAGAAATCTAGCAACATAATTAACTCAAAAAGAACTCCAAAATCCAGGGTCAGATGTACCTGGGTCTGCAGCCGAGCTCAACAGCTCACCTGCTTCATGCCCTTCATCAGGTTATTTAGTCTTGGAGCTTCAGGGTTCCCATCTGTGAAATGGGAATATCAACATTTACCTCACGGGCTTTTTATGGTGATTAAGGGAGACAACACATGCGAAGAGCCTGGAGAGTGATTGGCACATGGACAGCGTGTTATGTTAAGATATCCTTATCTTAGAATCCAGGAGGCCCTCAGAGGTCACAAGGTGAGCAAGCTGGTTCAGAGAGTGAAGAAATTGTCTGGATCCCACAAGATGAGAAAGAAAGAGAGAAAAGTCTAGAAACCTGGTCTCCTGACCCCCAACTAGGTCTCTTTCCATCCCTCCCACTGTCTCCCCGACGCTGTCCATGGACATTGGGAGCGTGGGTGGATTTGGGGAGCACGAGGCCACTTTCCACTTCCTTGATGATGACATTTCTTAACAGTAGATGAATCTTTTCTCGGTCATTCTGCCTTGTTTTGATGGCTGTGTCTAAGGAACAGCTTGAGCCTGCCTAACAGTGTGAGTACTGGCCCTCTTGTTTCTGCTGCTTTGGGTGAAAAGAACGGTGGTCTGAGAAATAGAAATGGGAGGTTCTTTTTCAAAATCACATTTACAAATTATTCCTGGGGCTGGCCCAGCAGCGTAGTAGTTTAGTTCATGCATTCTGCTGTGGCGGCCCAGGGTTCGCAGTCTTGGATCCTGGGAGCGGACCTACATACCACTCATCAAGCCATGTTGTGGCAGCATCCCACGTACAAAATAGAGGAAGATGATCACAGACGTTAGCTCAGAGACAATCTTCCTCAAGCAAAAAGAGGAAGATTGGCAACAGATGTTAGCTCAGGGACAATCTTTCTCACCAAAAAAAAAAAATTATTCTTATAAAAGCAATACATGTCCACTGTACAAATGAGAAAATCTAGATAGAATACAGCTACTATAGTGAAAGGAACAAAAAACACCTGTCATCATACCACCTGTCACCGTAAGATACTGTGCTGTGTTTTCTTCCAGGCTCTTTTCTGTGCATACACACATGCTCGCTTGTTCACGCCCTTGCTCGCTTCAGCGTATCGTAGCAGTTAAAAGCGCAGTCTGGCTCCACCACTTGGGCAAGTTATTTAACTTTCCTGCTATTGTTTCCTCATCTGTAAACTAGGGCTTCACGAGAGTGCCTTCCTCAGAGGGTGGTTAAGAGCAGCAAATAAGCTAATTCATGTAGAACACAGCGCCTGGCAAGCAGTAAAGACTGCAGAGGGGTTTTCCTTTACGATTATTATTATGTACTTATGTACAATAGAAACCTGAGATCATACGGTATATTCTGTAGGAAGTGCAGTTTGTATGGGGGCCGTTTCTTCTCTGCTTGTGCCCAGCGACTAGAATATAAGGCTTTCTTAAACTGCTCCCCCAGACAAGGTCGCAAGGTCAGGCTGAGGCTGCCTGCCTCCTGGCTCAGCACGCCAGGGCTGAATGATGATAATTATGTGTTCATCTTCAAAAGGATCTGACAGTGTTAACACACAGATTCCCATAGCCTGACTCCTGGTGGCGTTTATCACATCCATTTTACAGGAGTGAGAATGAAGTCTGAGCAGGGACTGACGCGGCTGTACGAGATCTCCAAGCAGATGAGGTGGACTCCCTGGCCGGCGAGAAATGAACAGCGCGGCCCGTGGAAGAGCGTGGGCTGCTGTTGGGCTGGGGTGTTGCCTTTATCACACCGGAGATTTAGGCCTGCACTGAGCAAGGGGTGAGGCTGACACCAGGAGACAAGTTCTCAGAGACTGGTCTCTCACGGAAAAGCTCTGAGAGTCTCCTTGATGTGGGTTTGTGTGTGTGCATGCATGTGTGTGTGTATTACCATTTTGGTGATTTTAAGCATCCTTTTGTGGGATTCAAACATTCTGAGAGTGAAAAATGATCATTTTAAGCCAGATTGGGTAAGGTAGGGTCATAAATCAGGAAGGAAGACCAGATTCTGTCTTTGTGTGTGTACGTACGTGTATATGTGTGAGTACACGCACATGTGTGTGCATGTACGTGTGTGCATGTGTGTATGTGTATACATGCACATTGCGTGTGTGTACCTGTGTGTGTGCGCACAGAGAAGGCGCCAGCAAGCGAGCCTCCTGGGGTGAGTGGGAGGAGCAGATGTGGGTCTGAGCAAGGGAGCTGGTTTTGATGAAATATTGGCTAACGCTCGGGGCACCGAAGGAGAAGAGGCTCTGGTCAGGGAACTGTGCTGCATTAGAATTTATAATAGATTAGCTTATCTGCCCCTTGATCTTCAAGGGTATTTGGGGAGCTGAGGATGAGCCATTTCTGCCTTGATTTTCGCAGTGAGAGGAAACGTCTGAAACAGTATTCCCAGCCTTTCCCTCTGCACAGCCCAAGGCGGTGAGAGCTTGGTATTCACACCCCCACTCAGGTCATTCGGAGGAGGCTGACAGTGCCCAGGAATGCTGACATGCTTCAAAACATCACACAAGAAAGAACCCACTCAGATTCCTAAGGGGAGTTGCTGTCGGTCCATCCTGAGCCGGAGTGCAACATTGGATGTGATTGCCATGGCTCCCCCTCCCGCTGCAGGAGCTCGAAATCCATATTCATCCACGATGTCTGCAGGACTCCCCTCTCGCTGTCCATCTGTCTGTCTGTCTGACTCTCTCTTCCTCGCTCTCTGAGGTAAAGGGTGCTCGCTATCCTGAAAAGGGGAGCGTGCCAGAATGTTCCAGATGAGCTGCTGGCAGCAATGTTGCTTTAAACACCAAGGAGCTGAAGCGGCCGGGAAAGAAAGAGTGAGGGGTGAAGTGTGGTTTGATGTCTCGGCGCACTGGGACATCATGATTCATATAACATGAGCTCCTCGGAGTCCTTGATTAAATCCTAGCCTAGCACCCCCGGCTGAACTGGAACTCTGAAGTCCAGCCAAGGAGCGTTACTGGTCCTGCCTCAGCAAACAGTTGGTGGGTCACAGGCAAAGAACAGTGGAGGGGTGCTTTTTTCACTGGAAAAATTACCTGCTGGGAAAGGAGGAATCATATGATGTGTGTGGGGGGGAAAACCAGCCAGGAAGGACCTGGCTCTCACATTACAAGGCTGCTTTCTGAAGTCAGAGGGACTTTTTATTCCCCCCAGAGGCCTGCGGGCCCCAGCCAAAGTGGCTGTGCGTGGCTCTGAAGGGTGTGGTGTTAGGGGCGCTGCACGCTGGGGCTCTGGATGCCAGGCTGGGAACGGGGAGAGAGGAGAGCTGGGGACGAGGCTTCACTGTCCTCAGACTCACTCTCTTAAGGCGGGAGGGAGGTGAAGAGGAGAGAGAGGCTGCCCTGTTTCCCCTCTAGCCAGGGGACGGGGCCCTCTATTGCCTCCACTTAGGACTTTCTATGCATGGAGTTCCCTCTCTCCCTTTCTATGACATTTCACATGTCTGGCCACTATTTCCATCTCCCGACTCCTTAAAACTTTCCCGTCTCTCACTGTACCCTCTCTCTGCTTCTCCGACAGCCTTCACTCCCTCTTTGCATGGAAGTTGCATAATGATCTCTCACTTCACGACGCCCCCTTTCCCAATGCTTAGTTCATGTCGGTTTGAGCGGGGAGACTTTGGGGCATGTGACTCAGGACTGGCCAGCATGTTTGGTTTAAGGATGGGGCTGTGGAGCCAAGAGGGTCCAATCAGAGCCAAACCTGGAACTTCTGTTGGAAACTTTTGTTGGAACTTTTGGGATAGAGAAGTTCTCTTTCATCTGGGGTTGATGGGATGAGAGGATGAAAGCCTGGAGCTTCCAGGGGCCACGGTGATGAGAACATCTGTCTGAAAATGATGCCACTGGAAAAGGAAGAACAAAGAGATGGATAGAGATGGATTTCTGAAGGCATGATTTGAGCACCAGGATCTAATCATACCTGAGGTCAGGATCTAATCCTGGACTCCTCAGTTATACTAACTAAGAAATTTCTCCCTTTTCTTCTTTATCCAGTTGGATTTTTTCCTGTTACTTGTAATTGAAAGTATTGTATTTATATGTTGGGTCGATACCCGCTTCTGTCTTTTCTGCATGGAGTTCCCTCTCTCCCTTTCTGTGAGTCCTCAACTTTCTGTGTCTTCTTTGTTCCCCTTACTCACTCAGGCTTTCCATCCACTCTTGTGGTGTCAACTATGACCCCTGTGAGATTCTCGTGCCCCACTCCCACATTTGGGCATCTAGCTTAGATCTTGTTCTCGTGTCCAGCCATCTATAAGACAGTTCTGCATGTGCCTCATGCACGTGGACATGCACAGCTGCCTGAAGTTAATGTGACTCCTGATCCTTGGGAAGGAGAGGGCCCCCCTTTTCAACCACCTCCTCTTCAACCCTGGCATCTGATCCCCCTGGTTCAAAGCCAGAATTATCTTTGATTCCTTCTTCTCTTCCTTCCTGTCCCCCTATATTGAATCATCCATCAAGTCTTCCAAAATTTCTCTTGTGGATGTCATTTTTTTCTCTATCTACCACCATCCTCTGGTCTAAAATCTCATCATGATCATCTCAAAACCCTCTTACCTGCCTTTCAAATACTCATTTCAAACTGTCCCACCCATCCAGCACACTCCTGCTTGTTTAACTTCCTCAAATACCTTTCACCTCACAGCTTGCCTGAAGAAACCAGATTTCTCACTGTTGCGCATCTCCGGGTCCCTCAGATGCTGGCATTCATGAAGCATGAGAAGCCACAGGAGCACCCTTCTGGAATACTAATTTGACTGCAAGGTTTCTTGGGATGTGGGAAGTTAAGTGCTTTAACTAGAAAGAAATTAAAAACATTTTTATATTAAAACAGATCAATCTTATGTAAAGTAGAATGCAATACTCACGTGAATTTTAAAGATTAAACATAGATTTCAAAGACGTTCTGAGACTGTAAAAGTCTACTTTCAGCCACCACCCAAGAGTTCTGGGATTCTTTTCCCTCTGCCGTTGGGTAGAAAGTTTGAAAAAGCATCAACATGTTGAGTCATTTCTAACCTCCTCGATCTGGTGTTTCTCTCACCTGGCCCTATCTTTCGTACCCTCCTCCTTTTCTCTCACTATTTCCTTGAGGTAGAGGGCTCTTCTGGTTGTTCTTTGAACTCAACACTCTCATTCCCAACCCTGTTTCATGCCACCATATCCTTTTCCAAGTGAGCTCCTTTCTCTTTTTATCAGCCTAAATCGTCTATCTCTTTCAGGCTTAATCACCAGCTCACAATGGTCTCTCCCTTCTGGAATTCATATCAATACATGAATTATATGCTGGACAAGAGTCACTCATCTGCTCAAAACCCTTAAAAGCCTCCTTATGTTCTGGCTGTGGAATGAAGTCTAGACTCCTTTGTATGACACACTGGCTCTTGGCTGATCTGGACTCTGCCTGATACTTCAGTCTCAACTGGCCTTGTGACTACCCTTGATCTTTGCTGTTCAGACTTCAAGAACCGCTGTAGTGTCCCCAAAGCACAGTGGTCACTTTCACCTTATCTTTATCCTCTTCATCTCCTTCTCTTTCTCTTGGCTTTACCCATTAGGACTCAGCTCAGTCATAATGTCCTTCTTGGCCATCGCTCCAAAGCTATCATAGCCCCCTGAGCAGATCTCCATCTCAGCATCATTTGGAGCAGCCTTTCTTACCTCCCTCTCTGCTGGCCAGATGGGGAGCTCCTTACTGCAGAAATAAGCCATCTTTGTTATCCCTGCTGTAATATTTCTTAAATGAATTAATTAATGAACAAACAGGATGTATCAGGAAACTTAGGATTTACTTTCTTTCCATTATCCATGTGATCTTGGGCCTTTCTAAGCTTGTGTATCATTTTATAGTCAAGTCTGTTTCATACACACAAATCTTTTGATCTCTATTTACCTGAGGGTCCCTGGCAGTATCAATAATTATACAGATTGGAGCTGAAAACTGGACCTGGGACTAAGACACAAATGAAGAAGTGGGGATCAGCAGATGAGCAGGACCAAGCTTGCCTCCTTCTCTCCAAGATGGCACACCTTGCATAGAAAAACATCCACATACTCAGGGTTGGTTTAGGAGCTCTGGGTAAAGGTCAGCAGAGATACAGTTTTGGGTGAGATACAGCACATTTTATACAGATTATTCTGTCCTAGCCCACAAGAAAGCTGTCAATTATATTTTTAGATTCCAAGAGCTCTTACTTATTTGCTGAAAATCCTTTTTTTCCCTACTTTTTCTCCCCAAATTCCCCCAGTACATAGTTGCATATCTTAGTTGTGGGTCCTTCTAGTTGTGGCATGTGGGATGCTGCCTCAGCGTGGCCTGAAGAGCGGTGCCATGTCCACCCCCAGGATCCAAATCAGTGAAACCCTGGGCTGCCGAAGCTGACCGTGCGAACTTAACCACTTGGCCATGGGGCTGGCCCCTGAAAATCCTTTTTATAAGCACTCTGTTCTTGTTTTATAGATGTAGAAATTTCTCTTCTCTCTCTTAGAATCTTAATTATGTTGATTGTTTAAAAAAAATATTTGTTCTGTTCTCTGCCTTGTTTCTATTTCCTGTGAATTCCCTTTTTGTCTCTTCCTTTTAGGTTAGTGTTTTCCTCAAGTGCCTAAGAGTAGAAATTCTTTATATTTATACATATTTAAGAATGAGGGACCAGAAGCTAGTGGAAAAACCCACACATAGGTGGGAGTGTTGAGTGGTGGACCTCACCAAATCTGGCTGTGCATTTGATGTCAACAGGGTGGGTCTTTTCTACTGGACCTGTCAGTGTCTGCAATCTCCTGTCCCTTCCTGTCACCTCTCTGAGGTGTGGCAGACAAAGTAGGTGATGGACTGGGAAGAGGGGTGTCAAACCCTTCTTAATCTTGTTGTCAGTACGGCATCTCACTTCTACTCTCTGCTTTACCTGTCTCTAAGTCCAGAGCCCTTCTGGAATGATCTAACCACAGTGTAAACCTCTTTTCTTTTGCTTGGATGTTGGGTAGTTTGTCGGCATCATTGGGCTAGATGAGAGGATGGGGGTGTGTGTCTACATTTTCCATAAAGACGTTCAATCAAGCTATTTTCAGCCATCTAGTCTACCCTTAAATTCGGAAACACCCAGCGCCTTCAGTTACTGAGACTTTCCAGTGGTTTGTGCTTTGATCTTGCTTCTTGCTTCTTAGTTTTCATGCCCACCCACCCCATCTAGGCTTCATCTTTACTGACTTTGACAAGCTATCTCCAATAGCTTTCTCTTTGTTCTAGAGGAATGCTTGCTTTTTTTTTTTTTTGTGAGGAAGATTGTCACTGAGCTAACATCTGTGCCCATCTTCCTCTATTTTGAATGTGGGACGCCACCACAGCATGGCTTGATGAGCGGTGTGTAGGTCTGCACCTGGGATCCAAACCTGTGAACCCCAGGCCACTGAAACAGAGTGTGTGAACTTAACACTATGCCACCAGGCCAGCCCAATTTTATGTATTTTTAAAAAATCATTTTACTGGTGTTTTAGTGAAGTATTTTATTGAAGAAACAGAGACAAATGCACATGCTAATTCTGCCACATTGAACCAGAAGTTGGGCTGATTTTCTTTTTAAAAAAATTTCATTATTACTATACAAATACTTTTTGGGATTCAGTTACTATATAAAGACTCTCCACAAAGTTTTCCTATGCTGGTCAGTATCCTGGGCACTAGAAGTACACTGAGGATCACCACAGACACTGTCTTTTCTTCACAGTCCTTACAGCCTAGTTAGGGAGATAGACAGTCAAACAGGAAAGTTACAAGCGAGAGGGGTGCTATGAAAGGACAAGTTCATTCAAGGCTTTGTGGAAGAAGGAATATCTAATCTAAGATGGTTTAGATAAATAGGAGTTAGCTAGGTAAAGAGGCAGGAAAGATGTTCCAGATAGAAGAACAACCAACAAGGTTTGGAAGAAAGGGGGAGAGAGGCATATATGAAAAATAAAATCAATTTAAAAATGCTACAGAAAGTGTTGAAGAGAGCGAGCTATGAAATTTGGGGCTGGAGAGGTGAGAGGGACCAGATCAGATGGGGCTTCACGAGCCCTGATATTGGACTTTGTTCTGAGGGCAGTGAGAAGCTACCCGATGCTGCAAGTACAATCGTGACTACATTTGTGCTTTTATTTGAGGGTGGGGAATATTGCTTTGTTTTCTATTTGTCCCAGTTTTATCATTGTTACTCTATATATGTTGAATCTATATTGTGAGGTTCATATATGCCAATGATGGTTATATGGTTCTTGCTTTATTGATCTGGATTTTTTTTTTTTGTCTTGAATACCATTGTCAGATATTGAAACTGAGACTCTGGGCTTTGACTCGTATTTGTCCTGAATATTTTTTTCATCCTTTCACCTTTACGTTTTCTTTTAATTTCTCTCACATATTGTGGATACTTATACTAAACAATTTTTAGCTAACCTGAGAGTCTCTCTCTCTCCTATGCTTATATTTATTTATCCCTGTAGCTACCTCAGATCTATCTATCATCTATCCATCCATCCATCGTCTATCTGTTATTTATCGTTTGTCATCCATCTGTAATCTTCCCCTGAAAGGACATGTTAGCACATTCTCATGTCTATTTGGTACCCATGTCCTTGTTGATATTATTTAAAACTTTTGTTCTGGCTCATTATGGATACACGCTTTCTTTTTTTGCTTCCTGAACTTTTAGACAGCAATAAATTCTACTAAATTATTTGAATCCTTTTATTTCCCATATTTCCTTTAGTAATCTCCTGGATTTAGTTCTTACCCGAGTTTTCTAAATAGTTCTTTGTGTGGCAAACTGCTAAAGCTCTGTGTGCTTGAGATTATATCTACTGAGCCCCCATATTTAAACCATAATTTGGCTGAATATAGGATTCTATATTAGAATTGTTTTTTCCTTTAGGAGTAACAGTTTCCGTGTCTGGTTATCTATATTGATGGAGGGGATTGAACCCAGCTCCCTGAAGAGGGGCAGGGGCGAGCTCCAGGGCAGAATGCTCCAAACACAAAACCGTAGCCCACAGCTCCAACTTTTTTGACTCTCCATTAGGCCACACTTTTGGTCAGAATCCTCCCTTAAATGCTCTGAAAAAGCAACTTGGGAAGGAAACAATCCCTGTGGATAAGTTTTTCAAACTCTGGGTGGCAATCCATTAACGGATCATGAAATCAACTTAGTGAGTCAGCCAGTAAGGGAATGGGAGAGAGAGAGAGAGAGAGAGAGAGAGAGAGAAAGAAAGAAATAGAACAGAACAAAATAGGTTGAAAAATATAGAGGCATCCCAACAATAAGCACATTGTTTTGCGAAATTTTCCTTCATTTGTCCAGGCCGTATATGTACTGAGTCACCACGTAACTGTATTTGCTTGTTGAGGGTGTAAGTCAAAATCAATTTGAAGAACAAGCTTTTGATTATGATCCACCAAACCCGAAGCGAGGGGGCATGGAGGAGGTAGAGGAGTGAGTGCTCAAGGCCAGCTGGCCAGTCTGCTTCTTTTCATCAGTGCCTCACCCCACAGGGTGTTGGCACTGACCTGGGTTTACCCACTCCTGCCTCCCACCTGGCTGATGCTACTGGCTTCTTTTACACTGTGGGGCAGGTGACTATCTTCCAAAGGCAATGTGGGCAAGAGCAGAACTTGAGAGCTGTCCCTCAACCTGTTCTCCATCGCTTCACCTGATACCCTCAGCCCAGGTTGGTCCCCACTGAGTATTCAGCCTACCAAGGGGTTCCCCACAGTTTTTATGTTAGTCCCCAAAATCCACTCTTGCTTTTTATTTCTATAGTTCTTCTAGATTGACCGTATGGGAGAGAGGCAACAGCTGAGTCTTGTTTTCATCCTGTCAGGAAGCAGAAAACTCATTCGCAATCTAACCTAGAGCCACCATGGGCCTGTGTCCGGCTCTTCAGCATCCTATTCCTCTGGCAGCCTTCACCCTCTCTGCACACCACCCCACACGCTCCCACTCAGTAAATCCTCATGCTGAGTTCTCCTCCTCCCCCCGTGCACTATCTATTTTTACTTCTGCCTTTGCCCGTGATTATTGGAAACCTCAGGCTGTAGCCAGCAGGGAAATTTATAGCTAAACAATTACATTGTTGAAACCCTGACAAGTCCACCCTGGTTAATGGCTCTGAAAATATGGGAGAGGTGAGAACAACTAAATCTACGAGGCTCCATATTGTGGGCCTGCGAAGGTAGATTTGGAGGACCTGTTTACTTTAACAGGAATTTTTCATTTTCTTTTCCCCTTACGTTATTGTTCCAAACACTAGTCTCACTCAATATGGATTCATTACCTGGAGAATGGCCTGGATATTTGGATAATCATCTTCTAAATAGTTTCTTTTTTCCCTTTCCTATTATGATTTTTGGAACTCGGCCAACAACAATGCAACGGGCAAGCAACAGACTGAGGAAAAAAGCAAACAGCGCTGGGTTGCGTTAGTGAATGAGCCTATATTAGATGCAGGTGGGATTGTTCAACGTCCCAGCCTTGCAGAAAGCTTTTAATAAAATAGCAGGAGAAGGGAGGAGCTGCTTTTGCAAAGGGGATGTCATAGAATTTGGGGAGGAAAGGGGAAGGCGGGATAGCTCAATAGTCAAAAGACAGTGCTGTGGGAAGGGCAGGTATCGAGTGGGCAAGCCATCATGGGTGACCTGCAGAACTGGGCTTCTGCCTTACCAGGGCAGATCAAATTATTGGTCTGATCCATCACTCCCTTGTAGCAGTGTTATCCCTGCACACCTTTTACGTGGTGGTGGTGGGGAGGTACTTGCCCATCCCTTGACTTCAGGCTTGACTAAGTGATTTACTTTGGCCTATAGGGAGTTCATGGATTGGATGTGAGCACAGGCTTGAAATACACTTGTGAGGTTGGGCTCGCCCTCTTGTGCTCCCACTTTTTGCCATGGAAAGAACATGCCTCAGGTAAGTGCTGGTCCAGGGAAGATCAGAGACATGTGGAGGAGATCTAATGGCAACCCACAGATTGGAGCGAAGCTCACAGCTAAACCCCTGTCAACTCATAGATGTGTGAGTGGGGAAAAAAAAGCTTTTTGTTGATTTCCACTGAGATCTTTTTGTAGTTGTTTGTTATGCAGCAAACCTGACTGATGCACTCATTTAATGGGCTGCTGCTGGAGAAATGGGACAGGCACCCCCTGCCCTTTTCTGAATTGCTACCTGAGTTTAAGAAGTGGAGGTGGTTTCAAAGCCCAGGAAAAGTCTAAGCCATTGCTTTCTGTGGCAAGATGAC